TCTTCTGGTGGAATCGACCTTCGAATCTCTTTACTAAATACTTTTACTCGAAATGGAAGTAAGCTCAACAATATTCAACTATTCCTTCCTTTGTGAGACCTTGGGTGACTAGAACTATTAATAAATATGTATTGTTGGTCACAAAATCCTTTAGCACACACAACGCCGACACCTGAGCTCGAATCCTTCAGAGGTGGGTGGATGAAATTACTGCGAGTTGGAGAATCATTCAATATCGACGACCCGGAAGAATGTGTCGCTCGAACTTTATCGGGTTGCCGGGTATTCCTCAATTCCGACTTCAGGCCGACACTCTGGAGACTCTTCGCTCTGACACATATTTCGGACGGTATAGCAACTGATCAGCCGGAAAGACCAACACATGATGAAGTGGAAACTCTGTGTCAGCTCAGCGAGAAAAATCTGGGCCACCGACGCAACCAACCGTAACCATTGTTCTAAGCAAGAATTTTTATCATCTTGTTTCGAAGCCTCGGGTACAAAAGTGTTTGAGCGCTGTCTTGTTGGAGTTTGCCGAAGCAATGGACAAATTTTTTTTTATTATTATACTAAAGGTCCCATATTTTTTCGAGTGATTATTCAGAGCAAGTTTATGTACCGAATAGCGCTCTAAATTGGACACTCGGACCTAGTGGGCAAAATGACCTTATCCAAGTCCTCTATTTTTTCACGCTTCCGACATGAAGTTGACAGTTTCGGAAAGTGGTATTTTGCACTTTTCTCGTTAGCTAGCCTTCAGTTGCCAGGGTCCCCTGACCCTCAATGCCTGTTCCTAGCCCGGGGTAGGCAACATTGCTTAAATCTCTAAGCCCCGCACCAACATAGATTCAGAGAAATAGTCTGTTGGGAGAAGGGAGGCAACCAATCTGGTCAGAAATCTGCTAACACATTTCAGCCTCTTGGCGCTGGGTGCTGCAGTTTTGTGCCCATGCGAGTGCACGATATAGCATCAGCACTGTGCATGCATGCGTGTAAGAAGATAATAAAATGAAAAATGTTTGTTTCTTTGTCTTTTCCTACAGTAAGCACTGATCTCCAGGGCTAGATAAAATTGCCTATTCCGAATACTCCTAAGCAGATGTAGACGAGATGGAAGAAAAGGCGAAACGAACCCCTGACTAAAAGTGAATCTACTCCTTAGGCTTGCCTATGAATCACACGACTTTCTATTCTACAATCTTCTTGCCTCCACGGGCAAAGAGGTCACAACACAGTCCATGTAATAAAGATCCACAACCGTGTGTACATGCGATAGTTGAACCCTATCTAACCAGTAATGGCTAGGCGCTGAGAACTGTAAGTGGAATGCCTTGATCTGATGGATTAATAGATGAAATTAATTATGTATTTAAGCATTTAAATTAACTGAAAGCCTTTTTATAAGTCAACAATAAATCCAGATGGACCTACTAGTGGCATGGAAACTCTATTAAGTCAGCCATGGAAGGAAATCGTTTTTGAATGGCATATAAATC